GTGATTCACAGCGGTGGCATTAGGTTGTGTGTTATTGCCTTTTGTGGTTAAGCTGCACAGGAAACAGGCTTTGGGCTGTCGGCCGCCCATTTAGGGCACCTCACAGAGGATGCTTTGTGTGCGTGAGGCTTGAGTGTGTGTCTGCACCTTTGTGTGTGTGTGTCAGGGTGTGTCCGTGTGTGAGCATATACAGGCGGGAGCTGTGTTCGACATTCCCTCGATGTTTACACACCGTTACAGTGGAGAAAGTCATCGGGGAAAATGAAGCGCTCAGCGGCGCTTTGCTTCCCGGCCTAACTGGCAGAACATTTTTGCTTCACGGTGCAGTCACACTTTGTGTACAAACGTCTCCGGAAAGCCTTTTTGAATTGGCATGTCTCGGCCTTTGGGACTCTGGACATTTGTTTTGGCCTTTTTCCACACTGGATTTCACATCGAAATGTGTAAAAACAATTACTTTTACGCTTTTTAACGTCCGCTCAATGAATTATGATGCTCGTCACACGAGGGGAAGAGGACATCATTGACTCCCTCTCCCGGGTCCTCACTCTTCCTCTGTATCCCTTCATCTCAGCCTGTCCTCTGTCCCCCCCCCCCTCTTCCCACTGTTCAAAAGGACAGCATATAAATAGATATTAGGCAATATCCTTAAGAGTCTGCACAGAGAAGAGGGGAGGGATGGAGCGACATTCTTACAAACAGCTGATTGTGTAAAGAGGGAACAGTGAGTAAGACAACACCGGGGAGGGAGGGAAAGAGAGAGAGGGGGGAGGGGGAGCAGGAGGACAGACGATGTTAAAATAAGTTCAAGTGTGACAGAGGGATGGAGACGGAAAGCGAAGGGGTTTTGAAAGCGCAGACAAGGAACAGCGAGAGGCGGAGAGAAAGAAAGCGATGCCAATAAAGCGAGTGATCGGGCGACACTGGGGAAACATTTGTTTAAATTCCCGCCCGAGGTGTCATACGGATGTAAATGTTGCGGTCGGCTCCTTGGAGGCAAAACGCCCCGGGTGCCTTATCTAAAAGGCACATTCCGCTCAACTATTTTCATTCCGTTCCCTCAGAGAGCAATTTCAAAGGTAGCTCGCATTTCCTCGCAAATAGGCCTGAGTGACAGGCAGCCACTTCATAGCAGTCACAAGGTGGCGGGTGGGAAAAAAATCCCACAACCCCCCCCCCCCCGCCCCCCCCCGGAAAAAAACAAAGCACCAGCAGCACAAAATGTCACTTTGACTCCTAAAGGCACTTTTTATTCATCCGTTTTTTATTTATTTTTTATTTACGTCGGTTGAAATAACGAGAGGTAACCTAAAGCAAGGCTGAGCAAGCGCGCGCGTGCACACACGGGCATGCAGACACAGACGCGCGCGCACGTGCACTTTATTGTGGAATTCTCCAGAGGAGGCTCCCACGCTCCCTGAAAGCTGGTTCTGAGTAGAGGAGTTAACAAGAGCAGTTAGCACCATGATTATGTTAGCAGCCAGACACACAGAGCGTGTGTGTGTGTGTGACATGGCTGCTTTGTCTCTTCTCTCCCTCTTCAGTAAAGCTCGAACCAATCTTTGCCCCGTTGTTTTGTTGTTGTTATTGCGTTATTCCCTCCCGAGCTGGCGAGCCCCCCCCCTCTCGTAAGCTTTGCTTGGCGTGAGCTGGCGGGCTGCTGACGCGCCTACGTGAAATGGAACGCGTCGATTACAGTAAGACAAGGGCCAGGAGACGGTTAACCACCGGCCGCGGCGATTATTGGGCCCCGTTAATGGACGCGCGGCGCCGTCCGATTAGTGACTTAACGGCAGTGGACATATGTGATATGAGAGGGACTTAGCCGAGGAGCCGCTAATCATCAAAAAGCCAAGGGGAAGTGGTGCTCTAATCTCAGCTTAGCGCTCCCACCGTGGGCCCGGTTGTGTGTGTGTGTGTGTGTGTGTGTGGGGGAGACAGTTTCCTGTAATGTGACTTTGGGGGACAGAAGAGACAAACAAGCCATTATAATTGTGTTTCTTTGGATTTCACTTTTTTTGTTCATTTTGTTTATAAAAAAAAAAAAAAAAAAAAAAACACACTGCTATGAACCAGTCACGCTGGTGTTATGTCATGTGACCCCCCCCTTTTCCCGCGCTGCTAGGGTTACCCCGTTGTCGGACCCGGTGAAATTATGCTAATGATGTCTAATTACGAGTCTATTAGAATTATCTCCCCAGTGAAACGACATCTTGTTTTAATCCTCGAGCGACCTCCTCCCGGGTTCCTCGCCGGGTTCCTCGCCGGGCCTCCGCCGCCGCCGCCTTTGAGTGAAGTAGCCGGCGTAGCCTGCACACCCGCTGTGCCCAATTGTGCAGTAATTCCACTTCAAAGGCGAACGGGAGGAAAGAGAGGGATTTTATAGCCGGAGAGGAGTTGTGAACGGCCTCCCCATTCACGGGCACCCACCTCTGAGGACGTAGTAGCAGAGGGTTTGGGGGAGGGAGGGAGGGATTGGGGGGAGGGAGACAGAATAAATAATAATTAAAAAAAGCACAAAGCATGATTAAATGTTTGCCACGGTGTTGTTTCCTCTCGAGGTGAGCGGAGTTCTCGGTGGGTGTCGGTGTTGTTGTTCCGTGTTAACGTGCAGTCGCTGTGGCGCAGCTACCGGCTAAACGACGGCCGGTAAAATCTCTCCTCGCTGAACCGAAAAATACCTCAAGAGGACGGCCGAGCCAAAGTGCAAGACATCTGTGAGGTGACGGGCTCCAGAGCCGACCCCAGGTCTTTGTTGGGGTTACGACGGGCCGGAGGTGTGCACAGGAGGGGAGGTGTGTGTGTGTGTGTGTGTGTGTGCCCGTCTAAAACAAAAGGGCCCACTGTGAGAGAGTGAAAGGAGGTAAAGTAAACAGGCAGTGATGAAGACAGACCTGCAGTGTTAGGGCCTCTGTTCTATGTATGCGCATGTATGTGTGTGTGTGTGTGTTCAGTTTGTACAGCTGGCCTTGCCGCTCACACACACACACACACACACACACACACACACACACACACACACACACACACACACACAGTTCTTTCTGCTCAGTCCTTCTATCAGCAGTATCATAAATGTTATCACGAGTGGATTACAATGTTCTCATGAATTGGATGTCATGATAGCGGGTTTGTCTCGTCAGTATTTAGTTGAAACAAACATCTTTACTGGTGTCTCTTTTTGCCCCCAGAGATAAAGAACATATGTGGCCCGTCCGTGGGGGTTGGTCTGTACACACTGTCCTGATTAGAAGCCCGTGAAGCATAATTGTGTGATGGTTAGAACGTAGTTTTTGCACAACTTGAGTCAGTACCTAGAGCTGTGTATTTGGCCAGTAAGTATCAGCAATATGCCCACGATAACACCGATTAGTGCATTGGTCTCAGTTATTAGATTATCTATAAATTCAATAAATGTTACAAAATCTCAAATCTCCCCAAAACAATTACTGCTTTATTTTCTACCTCGCACAATATCACTGGAGTGAACCATTATCTTATTCTGCGCCCCCCCGCCCCCCCTCCCTCTCAGCGACGTGATAAGTCTGCATGTCGCTCAGCGCGGCGGCCTCCTCAGCGCCTCCGCCGAGCGCCACTCAATACGGCTCCCCTTCCCACTGTCACAAGGTAAATAAGCAATGAATTAGCGGCGGGGCTGCTCCGAGGAACAATGCCAGATGTACAGTCCAGAGGAAATCCAATAGAGTCAAGAGTGTAATCAGTTTACCGGAGAGAGAGAGAGAGAGAGGGAGAGAGAGAGGGGAGGAGGAGGAGGAGGAGGAGGAGGGGGGGGAGAACGGGCGAGAGCCGGGCAGGGGGAGGGAAAGCAAATGGGACACAGACGAGCCATGGACGGGAGAGGAAGAGTAGAGGAAGCAGAAAAACCCCGCTTTTTTTTTTTTTTTTTTGACGGACCTCGAGAGGTCGGAAGCCTGTTGCTTATTCCTCAAACCCTCCGTGCCCCCCCCACTACCCCTACCCCACCTCCCAATTTCAGCAGTCCCTCCATCCACGGCCCCATCGCTCTGTGGGCCTGAGCTTTAGCAGCCTATTACCCAGGGTCACAGTCGCAGCGGCTTCAAGGCTGACAAGTGCATCTGAAAGCACTCAGGCAATGCTGAGAAGCACATTAAATTCTATTATAGCTGCGTAGTCGCTGCATCTCCATTCAGCTGAAGTACACGGAGGCAAATTTACCTCGTGTGAGACAGAGTTCACCTAATAGATGTGGCTTTATATCCTTTCCGCCTTTTCAGGGGAACAAAGCCGCGGTAACAAATGCAAACAGCGGGGCCCTTCGTGTTGCCAGCTATTTCCCTCCGGTTCCTCTATTCTGCCGAGGTTTTCATAAACACACATTATTGTCACCGCGCGTACCACTCTCACTCCTTCGGCTCTCGTGTGTTTTTTATTTTTGTATTTCTCCTCTTTCCCCACACTCTCTCTCTCTCTCTCTCTCTCTCTCTGTGAAAGCCCATTGTCGAGCCACGGTCATTTCCCGCACAAAGCCGGTGCAAGCGGGCTGCATTGGCGGTAATGGTCCCGACCTTTTGGAAAAACGTGAACGTTGAATGTCCCCCCCCTCCCCCACACCCCGACCCCTCCTACGGTAAACATACTGTAAGACCTGAGGGTGTGTTTGAGGGTCTGCCAAGATGTTGTGTGGGACTCGTAGTGCGACTGAGGGAGGGCTAATCCAGAGGAAAGGGAGCAGGGAGAGTTGGTGTAGGTTGATGAGCTGAATGGAATTTGGCGAACACCTGCCGGGAGGACTTAAAGATGTCTCCGTGCACAGGTTCTTGTACAGTAAGCACGCAGCCGAGCGGCTAAAGAATTGGATCAGACCGTCCAGGAGTTCCCAGGAACACACACACACACACACACACACTTCCCGTCGCCACCATCCCATAACCTATTATATCATCTTTTGAATATTGCTCTTGTTTTTCCTCTCTCTCTCTCTCTCTTCTCTGTCTCCCTTCTTTTTTTTTTATATCCAGGATGTCTTCCAAGCGACCAGCCTCTCCATATGGGGGGACAGATGGAGAGGTAACCATGGCAACCAGCAGACAGCGAATGGATGATGGGGATAGCGAAGGACTCGGCGGTGTCATCCACCTCCCCCTGGTCTCCTACTGCGGCAAGGTGTCCCCTCGCTCGCCCACCAACCGCAACTTGGACAGCCCCCCCAACATGGTGAGGACAGCCACCGTCTTTTTTTCTTTTTTTGTTGTGCACCCGATTGTCGTTCTTGTGTTTGTGAGTGCCCCCCCTTTGCCCCCCACGGGTGCCGGCAGCCGGAGAGACATCCGGTACGAGCCCCACGAGTCAAGGCATCCGTCATGTTAAACTTGACTAAACTAAACTATCCTCGTTGAGAACTTTTGTTTCACAAGAAATATTTCATATGTCCATGGAGAGTCGATAAGTCTGCTTTAGGAAGCAAAAAACGTAATTAACCTTCCTTCATTTAACTGAAATGGGATTATAATCTAGTTCATGTAAATATAATTATTACATTCAAGCGATGGGTAATTATTTAGCATATTGAAAACTGTGTGCCGACTGGGTATGTTGTTTACTCCTCTAATGGTAACCGAGAGTCACCTTTTAAACTCCAAACACAAAGCCAACAATGTGGACACCAAATGTATGTTGGTGACTCAGGCATGAAAAGAGTGAGTTTTCTAAAGAGTAATTGACTGTCTCCGTGTGAAAAGCACTTTGGCGCTGTTTTTTTTTTTCTAAAATGGATAGTTCAAGGCTCCCGCTTAGGTGCGCACGCGTTTTTGCTCCGGCGAGCGCGAGACACCTGCTCTTCGCCTTTAGCCCATTTCATGCCCGTTTGTGTGACTGTAAAAATCCGAGCCGTTCCAGTGAGTCATTCTCTCCGGGATGAAGTGGGACATTGTGCGGCGGCAGTGTGTGCGTCTCTGTAGGTCTGCGTGCATTTTGTCCCGTGCGCCTTATTTGTGCCTCACATGTGTGATTTCTGTTAAATATTAGCGGAGGACCTCGCTGTGCATCGGCTCCTCGCAGACTCCCGCTGGCTTCCTTTCATTTCTGTGTGTGTGTGTGTGTGTGTGTGTGTGTGTGTGTGTGTGTGTGTGTGTGAAGATGACTCCTGCATGGGACTCGTTCAGCGTTTACAACGCATGTTTCAGTACATGAGTGCGATTACGTGACCCTTTTTTAAAATCATCCGTAAAACATTGACTTTCCACTGCGAGAAACGCGTTATTAACACGTTAGGGAAATGAATGAGTCTTTATAGTGTCCCTTGTCTTCTCCTGGGGCCTCACCTTGATACACACTAGTCACAGCCACACTCTGATAACCGCCGGCGACCTTTCCCCCCGCCCCCCCACACGCTGACAATAAATGCCCTGCGTGCTGTAAAACAATGAAACGGTGCTTAGCAGCAGTAATGGAGAGCTAATTCATTTAATTAGCCCGCTGATTAGCCGGCAGGCCCCTCCCACCCTGGACTCTGCATGTGTGGCAGGTGCCGGCTGTAAACCAAAGTCCTGGGACCGGGAAACACACACACACACACACTCTCTCTGGGTTATCTTCTGCTGTTGGGGACAGGGATTGATAGATTTATCTTTTCCCATATTCAAACAAATATAAAAACACGTCAACTTTGGACGCAGTTGGTTTAATCGGCGTCCCCTCCTGAAAACTTCTTAAATTTCCCTTCACGACTGCTGTCTAGTCAATGACAGCAGAAGGGGGGCCAGCGTTGATGTGTGTGTTTGTGTCACTTGTGTTGTCAAAAAGGGGGGTTGGGGGAGGCTCTCATACGTGGCATAATAGCTGATATTGCTTATAAAGTGGGAAGCCAGTGTGTGTGTGTGTGCGTGTATGTGTGTGTGTGTCTAGCAGGCGGGATGGGGGCTTATCCGACTGCCTGCTTGGCATGTTGTAAGATGTGTGTTAAGTTTTCTTTTAGGGTGGTGGCGGCGGTGGTGGTGGGTGGGGTTTACAGCTTCAATCCCTTTGCAGCTGACTGTCAGTCGAGAGAGATTTAAAGCGGGGGGGGTCTGTCCCTCTCAAGGCAATTGTCGTTATGTGATAGGGGACGGGGGGGTGGGGGGGTTAAAAGGCTTTGGAAGTGAGGCAGCGGGGGAGAGCGAGCGGAGGGAAGGGGGCGGCGTGCCGAGCCTACGGCTTCATCCCGTCACAGTTAATGAACGGTGACCTCTACATCCCGCCCGCCGAGCTTTGCCCCCCCACTTTACCTGAAACACACAAAACAAACTGAAACTGCACTCGCACACATTTAAAAAGGAGCCACGTTATTTACTTCTTTCACATTTTTCTTTAGTGCGAACCGCGGCACTCAGGATGAAACGGGTGTTTTTCACAATGGGCGCGGTGGAGCTAAAAGGGCGTTCTATTGGGTGTGAGGTGTCCGCGCCTCGCCGGCGGACCCTGATTGGCTGAGAGTGGCTCAGATCGGAAGGCTTTTAGTGGCAGTTTGGTGCTACGATGCAATCAAAGGACGTTTTACTTTACCCCAAACTGAAGTAAGCACATATGAAAACGGCTGAATTATTACAACGCTGTTCCTTTTACATTTGTGCAGGTGCAGAACTTTTCCTTCTCGCTTGCTTTTCTTTTCGGATCAGTCAGAGGCAGATGTTTTATGGCCAAACGCTAATTATCTCACCAACGAACGGGATGCACGCCACTGCGGCAGCAAACCATAAAGATATTTCATCAGGCATTATTCCTTTTTAATTTTTCCCTCCTGCCCTCTTTTTTTGTGCAATTTCTATGTGTGATTAAGTGTGTGCGCGCATGTGAATTTGACAGATTTAACACAGTCATTGAGCAGTTTTGAGACACAGTGGTCACACTTAATTTCTCATGCCAGTGATGCACTAATGAATCAACACACGCTCGCCTGTCAACAGCGAGGGGTCGCGGTAAGATATTCTGCCGCTCATTCTGGTCCGACTGCAATTTCGAGCCCAGAAAAATACAGCTGCATGTTTCTAGATTCGGAAAAGGCCAAGTGCTCGATTCTCGGACAATGCGCTTTGAAATATAGAATGAGAATGTTGTGTGTGTGATAAACTAAAATTATTGCGCGTGTGGTAATTCGAGGGCCTTCCATCGAAGTAGCTCAACTGTATTGTCGTAACAGGAGGATAAAAAGTAACACTTGTGCCGGCCCGAGGGACCTCAAAGTCAGAACCGACAGTGTCTGTGTTTAGCCGTGGCGTGTAAGGGGATTTGCTGCATGCATACGTGTGTGTGTGTGTGTTTGGCGGTGTAATCGGAGGTGTGTTAAGTGTATGTTGTGACGATTGGCAGCTCTGGCAGGAGAGCTAAGTCTTTACCCCCCTGCAGGAGTGATCAGTGACATGCGTGTGTGTGTGCGTGTGTGTGTGTGTGTGTGTGTGTGTGTGTGTGTGAGGATTTTAATCGAGCAGCTGTTTCCAGTTCTTCCCACTGCCACATTGTCCATGCCTTGATCCGAAACGACGCGCCAAGCTCCCAATATCGCTTTCTCTTTTCGTCACACATACACCTTGCTCAGCCTGAGACATGTCAGGCCATGGTGGGGAGAGACGAGGGGAGGGGGAGGAAAGGGAGGGAGTGTTTCTTCCATCGGGCCACAGAGAAGGAGGAAGGGAAGAAGAAGAAGAAGAAGAAGAAGAGAAACATGAACGGTGGCATCTGTGCTGGCTGTAGAAAAAAAAAAAAAAGCTTTTTGGATGTTTATTTTCCCCCCCTCTTTTTCTGGCACGAGTTACGTGTTTTTTAAACCAACCTCCCCTCACAGATGAGCTTAAGAAGACAAAAGTTGTTTAATTCGGTTCCATTGCAGAGGCAGTAAAAGGATAAAGAGTGAGGCGCAATTTTTACTTTGTTCCAGTCGTTTTGGAAGAGAATTGACATCTGCAAACTAAAGGCAGAACCGCCCACACTGCCAGCCTGCCACATCCAGTGCATATAAATACATATATGCACATTTAACACACACACCTACAGGCTATGTGCACTCGCGGTGTCACATGTACATGTACGCACAGAAAATGGCTGCAAAAACCTGAGAGGAGGGCATGAGCTTTTTACAGTAGCCAGAATTTGCGTTTGTACTCATGAATAAATGCATGTTGGTGAGAAAAAAAGTTTCTCAGCAGCTCGCGGCCGCGGAGGTCGGGTGTGTGTGTGTGTGTCTCTCCGTCGGACTTCACCGAATCAAACGTGGTGGGAATGTCGACTGGGCACGTGGATTAAATACTGGGAGGTTGATGGGAGGGGGGGGGGACATAAGCCATTTAGGTTGCCTCCGGGAGCAGGTCGTCTGTCTGACTTCACGCGGGAATAATGTCCTGGGCCCTAATTCAGCCCATGTTTTGAAGAAGCCCCGGCTCCCCGCTAATTCCCCTCGATATGGAAATGACCTTCATTGTCGAGCGGCGCGAGATGACATCAGATTTGGCGACAGCGCGGAGAAATCCGAGAACCCCACCGCCCCACACACCCCCAACCTCCCGCATTTTCGTACTCTGTTTTGTTTTGTTTTGCGCGCGACATCTTTCTCGAAAGAAAGAGTGCGGCTTTTTTTAAATTTTTTTTTTAAGTAGGCGCTGGATTAGATAAATGGGATGTGACAGGTGTGACTGCTGGCTTCAAGATGCCCCCCCCCCCTCTCTCTTTCTCTCTGCATGTCTCCCTGTCAACCTGCTCTCTCTCATTTCCTCTAATAACATCACCTCTCTCTCTCCTTCCCCTTTCTCCTTTTCTTTGACTTCTACCCGCTTGCGCTCTTCTGTCTCCCTCCATCTTTGCGCGGCGTGCCAGCGCTGATGCAACCCGTGATCACAAAAGCCGCTTGCTCGCACTCTCAATTTCCCTAATCTGAAGAGCAGGGAGGGAGCGCGAAAAGGGAACGCCGCGAGGGAGCAAGGGAGGGAGACGGGTGCCGGTCGAGCCGTCAGCTCGGTCAGACGGGGAGCCGAGAGAAGAGCAAAGTCTTTCATCACAAGATCACCCTCTCCCCTCACTCTCCTCACCCCTCCTCACACCCTCTCCCCTTCGCGGCGGCCCTCGGGCCGGACTGAGGGTTCGAGGCCTCGTCTCCGCCATCGTACACACGCGACTGCCCTCCCCGCACCCTCACCCCGCTGTAGAGGATTAGTGAATAATTGAGCGCCGCTGACTTATCCAGCGCGTGGACGAGTCGGTGAAGTGTGACACCTCGGCTTCATTCCGCGAACGACACGCCGGCTTAAGACGTTTCGTTTTTCCCCCGCTTTACAAGCGGTAAAGGATGCGATCCGGGGGTCACAAGGGTTCCAGATGACCTCATTGTGGACTGTGATCCCAGAGTTCCACTTCCATCAGCAGCCCGGCGAGCTAATGATTAGAAAGCCATAAGACGCCATAATGTCACTAATAGAACGGCAATACACCACCGTGTCGCCTCCCTAAGCACACGCACGTCAACGCTCAGACAGTCAGTGTGTGTGTGTGTGTGTGTGTGTGTGGGGCACCGTCTTAGTCGACGTGCCCTATATTGCGGTGGCATTAGCCAAAGATTAACCCTGTGGACCATTGACCCTCGTGTCTACAGAGTGCTTAGCTGACAGTAGTTAGAGAACACAACACGGGCGTCAACACACCTTGGCGCTGGGACGGGAGGACGCGGCACGCGGCGGCCTCCTCATCCTCCGGTTAGCCGAGGCTCGGCTGGCATTGAGTCACGCAGGGCTTTCCCCCGCAAATGCATGTTTTACCAGGTCAAAGGGGATGACGCTGACATGTGACGACATGTCCTTTTGACACGGTTCACTCATGCAACATTGTCACGGTAATCTTTTTGAAATGCAATTGAAAAATCAATTGCATTTAGCGAAAACAAATTGTCGCCAAAGAGCAGAAGATTCAAAATGAGGAAATTCTAATCTCAATTTTTTTTTTATTCTTCTCATTTCCGGAGGTCATTAAACTGCACATATCAGAGCCCCTTCAAACCCGGATAATTATTCTCACCACAGCTTGGCAAAATGCACGGCTTCACTCTGAGCCGTATATATTATGTTCTGTATCCCTCAATCCGACTCCTCTTTTTGTTACTCCCTTTCATGAGTTTATGGAAATGATTTGACACCTCTCCAAAGCTTTGTTAACAAAAAAAAGGATTCCATTTATTATTTTTGTGTGTGATTGTCCTGTTTGATGGAGTTGCTTCCTCAGCATTAATCGCCGCAAATCGCAGGACGAGCTGAAGCTTTGGGTATCGGGGACAGTAGAGTTGGACGTCCCTCAAAGACGTGGCGATGAAGCCTTCGCAAAAAAGAGTCAGCGTGACTTTCCGAGTCTTTCATGTAGTTGCTCTGTCAAGTACCTCCAAGTCAGTCAAATGCAGATTGCCGGGGGATGTGAGAGACGGGGAAGAAGAAGAAGATGAAGATGTGTGCCCTAACTTGAGATAACTGGCCGGGGATGACAGTTAAGCTGATGAGGAAGATGGAGATAATGAAGGGCGTATGCCAGCTCCTCCTCCTCCGTTTTTTCCCCCCCACTTTGTTTATTCCCAGCTAAAAGTTTTACTCAATTCTTTCTATCTAATCGTTCATATCTTCCTTGCAGGAGCATGACCCCACCAAGAGGAGCTCCCTGAGCCCTTACCCCCAGCACAATGCTACCTCACCGGGCAAAGAGGACGGCGGAGGGCGGCCCTGCAGCGACGGCGGCTCCGTCGCCCTGGGGACACCAGAGAGGCGCAAGGGCAGCCTGGCCGACGTGGTGGACACGCTGAAGCAGCGCAAGATGGAGGAGCTGATCAAGAACGAGCCGGAAGGTCAGTGTCGCGAGCGCCCGCCCGCCTGCCTTCCTGTCGTCCTTTTCTTCCTGCTTCCCGTCTCAGGTGGGAGGCGACACGGACCCGACGGCGCCAGCTGTTCGGGGGGCCCTATTGTCCGCCGCTCGCTTTGCATATCTGCCACAACCGGACGGATAAGACGTGTGCATGCGTGCGCGAGTGTGTAGTATTGTTTTGCAACATTGTGCACGAAGAAGCCGTCCCGCCAATGTTTCCCGGATGCTAAATGAGGGTTAAACGTGTCTCAACACCTTTCCCCGCTGGCTCTGAACCCCTCTCAGGATTACTCTCTCTCTCTCTCTCTCTCTCTCTCTCTGCCCTCAGATGAACATTTCACACGCTGTTGCAGACACCAAAGCAGATTTTCGCCCAGGGCCACATAGCTTAGCTCGATTAGCCCCCACATTTTATTCTCAAATTCAGCCCTGGGCTAACAGTTGGAGTCAAGAGATTAAATTAGCCCATGGCCGGCTCTAATTTCTCATTGGGGACACAAACGGGGGCTGCAGTCAGTATGAGAGGTATGCGAAAGTGTTAACGTGATAAGGAGATTAGCAACAGGTGTCCAACTGACGGGGCGATATTAATAACGCCGTGCTATTTTGCTGGAGATGTCCTCAGCAAAAATTAGTATTGTTTGATTAACAGCAAAAATAAAGACACAATCATGAGTGAGAAAGTGAGGCCTTCATTTTGACAAGGGGCCTTAAATGTTTTGAGCACTACGGGTTGATTGCTAATAAAATGATTTTTGACAGCTAACATCTTGAGATGACTAAATATTACATAATAATTCTACCAGGAATTTTCACTTATTACAGGCAAGTATTTCTTTTTTTTTCCACTTACTCCTTGAAGTGGCCTTTGCTTGACAGCGGTTCGAAAACCGGATTCGCTATGCTCAAGGGCACTGAAACAAAGCACATCTGAATTCTTTCTTCTTCTTTTCTCTACATTTGGCCCCATACATGTGTGACATGACATGTGACAGAACGGAGCGTCACTACAGCGTGTGTCCGTACCGTTGTGTGCTGCGACAGGCTTTTCATCCCAACCTTTGATGCCTTCTAACCGTATCCGAGCTTTCCTGTACGGTTTTTAAGGCGATTTGAAGACCGCTGGTTGGCTCGCACCCTTCTGCTCGTTTTCACTCCATGAATCCCCCCCCGCTCTCCACGACCCCTGTTTATCAAGCCGGGCTGTAGTTGAGGTGTGTTTTAGGGTCCGCGAGGAAACTCATCAACTGCCCGGAAAGGGGGGAAAAAGGGCAAGAGAGGAGACGGAGAGAGCGAGAGAGAGAGAGAGAGAGAGAGAGTGCACGGTGTCTTCTCAGACCCCATTAGCCGACTGATCCAGCGGTGTGTCTTCCGAACCAACCCGGAGCATTATCTGCCCCACGTTTAAATGAACAAAAGCAACGCCAGCGCCTCCAGACCCAGCGCACACACACTTAAACACACACACACACACACAGAGAAAAAGCCAGGCCAAGCAAGAGAGAAAGGATGAAAGAATAGAGCGTAAAGGAAGAAAAGGGACACTGAGAAAGGATGAAGAGAGGCTAAAGGAAATGGAGAGGGAGGCTGGGAGGGAGGTGTGGGGGGGGAGAAACGGCGAGGGGCGGTATTGAACGCCAGATAGAAATCCCTTTTCTGGGCCCGGCTGGCTATTGTTTGGCTGTGCGGCTCACAAAGGCCATTAGCAGCAAACAGCAGGTTGGGATGAAAATTTAATGAAGGCTTTAATCATTATGAAAGGCCTGGAATATTACTGCTCTCTCTCGTTCTCTCTGTGTCTCTCTCCCTTTCGCATACACACACGCTGCTTCCAATCAATGACACACACACACACACACATTTAGAGTGTAGGAGCATTAACACCAGGAGGGATGTGAACGAGGGTCCAAAGACACAAAATGGGTCAGAAAACGCTAAACATCTCGAAACAGAACGAGAAGCTTGACTTTTCGAAGGGACGCCGTGAGCTAGACATCGCGCACACGCACACACACACACACACACACACACAACGAGACACACACAAGTGCGTCTTAAGTTTGAAAGAGATGGTTCTGTGGCTAGTGTTGCTCTACTTAGGTTAGATGAATGAATAGGGGGAGATACTAGGTCAGTGTGTTCGTGTGTGTGTGTGTGTGTGTGTCTGCTGTTAAAGCCTTTGGGGCCATGTGTATTTGCATTCGTTTTTTGACAATGCACGTGTGTTTGTATGTGTTATGGGACGCATTATTATCTGCATGCACGCAAGCTGTTGGTAGCTGCGTCGAGGTGTGTGTGTGTGTGTGTGTTGGCCTCTTATAAATGACGAGCCGCGTTGTCCCCTATGGCCTGGCCCAACCATGCTCCACCGCTCTCCTGCTCTCTCCATTCATCTCCTGTCTTACTCCACCGGCCACCTGCTACCCTGGAGATACACACACACACTCTCTCTCTCTCTCACACACAACCAAACCTCGGTCTTCAATAAATTCCCCAAGAGCGACAGGGAGGAACCGAAGTAACCAAAGATAAGAATGCCATGACACCGGCTCCCATGTGTGTGTGCGTGTTTGTGTGGACGAGCGACTCGGGCTGTGTGTATGTGTGTGTCATTACGGGGAAGAGTGCAGAGAATCGCGTAAGGTCGAGAAGGCGAGCTAAACCAAAAAAGAGAACAACACACACACACACACACACTCAAACACCCACCTGGACAGCTCCCCCGGACTCGCTATTTAACCCCTCGTGACCCCTGTGCCACGGAGCAAGGCCTAGTGATCATCTCTCAGCCCAGCAGGGAGAAAAGACACCCATCTTATGGATGGACGAACAGACAGGCCGTATGTGATTGTAAACTGCAAAATGAAAGAGAGGGAAATTAAAAGGAGAAGAATCACTAAATGGGGCACAGATGTTCCTCTCGGCCCCTGGAGTGGTGCCTTCACTGCCCTGGACATTCAACACACACTCAGCCTCATTCCTCTTCTCTGCTCCCCTCTCCGCTTTGACTGCAAGTGGCTCTCAGTGAGTGCCAGCTGATGTCCTTCTCTGGACCCGTCTGTTGACCCTCTGCTACCCGGCTCCAGCTACCCGTCACCGGGGCTCCGGGGCCTCAGGGCCTGGGGGACTTTTGGAATTGGAATGGTATTTGTCAATAAAATGAAAATAACTAAAAGCTTCTGAATTAGATATTAGTTTAGCTTTTTTTATCAAAGCATCACATAGACTATATGAGTTTTCTGGACCTTTTGATATCAACACATCAGTAGCAATGTAAAAAGTCTTCATGCCATCACAGTTATCTAAATCGAGATTGAAATAAAAGTCTCATTTTAACAATAACATCCGACCTGGAAAACCAATTGCCCACTTTCTTGTAAAACTGACATCCAGTCGGATGAAAGATAATGCTACCGTGGCCTCGGCTCCGCGCGGCCTTGACCCGTACACACGCGTGGGGGAAACTAAAGGCTCGCTCGCGCGCACACACACACACACACACGCATGCAGCCTTACAGGCGCACACGTTGTGCAGGTTTATAGCTGCCCCTGCGACCTTGAGGTCAAGCAGAATGGTGTTTTTATGGCTGAGCGTACTCGCTGCTCCAAGGCACCGGTTTCCATACTGATAATGCCAAGTCAATGACAGATGTCACGCAACACACACACACACACACACACACACACGCACGGCCACACGCACAGGCACATGCTCACACATGCACTAGCAGCACTTCATCTATTTTCGAGGCAGGGAGGGAACCCAGGGCTTGCTTTTAGAGAGCACTGAGGCATTTTATAGGACAGCACTTAGGCGAGGCCATTGTACCACACAAGCACACGGTCGCTGGAGCGCCCTCACGCCTCCGTACACTCCAATGGGCGACAATGGGAAGGGCGTGCACGTTCTCCCAAGGAGAGAGGGAGAGAGAGGCAGAGAAAGAAAGGAAGAGGGATGAAAAAGAGCCAGAGTATAGTGAAGGGATCGGGGAAGTCTCTGGTTCATCCGTCCATCAGCACACATGCCCCCCCCCACCCTTCTTCACTCTACCTAATCCCTCCACGGCTCTCGTATTCAGGAGGGGGGGGCGGGGGTTGGCCAAGCACATGCACGCACACTAAAAACATCAACGCAGTCATCATGCAGACGTGTGACTTTTAAGGGGACAGGGGAATTCTCCAGAGTGCCACACACACGCACACGCACACGCACAGACCTGCACACATGCAGCAGGTTCACAGCCCTAGCGTGGGAGCGGGCCGACGTCTTTATGCGCTCTCCACCCTTTGTCGGTAATTAGTTAGTTGTATAAATTAACATGAAGTGCAGCGGGACTCTCACGGCCATTGTTCCTCGCAATCATTCTTCTTGCGCTGGGAAAAGGAAGGCGATTTACTCCCCCGCCCCCCCCCCGTCCACCCGAAAAAAAAGAAAAAAACAATTCACTACAAGCGAAATGGAGAAAGTCGAGCCAGAGAGAGACACATGTAGCCGTCCCGGCGGTCAGCGTCGGCCAAAGAGAGATTGACGTGATGCACATCATTTTTTTTTTCTCCCGTCGCAGCTTCTGTCCTGCTGCTCCGCAGAGAGAAAGATGGCTCCCTGTTGCGCTGCTGCCACTCGCTGAGACTTCACTCGTCTTTTTTAAAATTATTTTTATTTATCTTTATCTTCCCACTTATCCGAGTGTCAGTTAACTTATTAGTAGAGGGGGGGGGGGGGGGGGGACTCACGATTACAACGAATCAATTGTTTTTTTTTCTTCTTCTCTCTGCGGCATGAGAAACAGGCAGCGTCATGGGGCGAACCTGAGGCCTATTGTGGGGCCGGCCATTGTTGGGCCGATGAAAGGCGCATTCAAGTCACTTTTCTTATTGAATTGTTTTGCGTCTGCTTTTCAACGTGGTATTCTCTCTCCAGCTCCGCGCCAGACAATCAGTGGGGATGAAACTCCTTTCTGCCATTCTTCCTGGTCCAGATGA